GAGGCATCGTGCTCGCTTGGGGTTGGGACGCGGCGCGCGGCACAGGTGACGACGCCGCTTCCGAGAGAGCCAACGAGCTTTTGTGCACTCCCGGGATCCCAAACTTTCGACGCCTCGCAGGGTAACGCGACCTGCCCGCGGGCGTGCCGCATGTCCATACCACAGACAGACAGACAGCTACACAAACTTAGGGCCGCGAGCAGCGGGGCTTCGGCATGGTGATTCAGCCGGGCTCGCTGGAAGACAGCATGCGACGGGGTTGTAGAGCGCGTCTAGAGCGTGGCGGCGGCGACGACCGCGGCGAGGATCGCGATGGCGGCCCGCTTGGGGGCGGAGGCGCCGTCCTCCTCCTCGTCGGCGTCGAGCACGGGGGCGGAGGCGCCGTCCTCCTCCTCGTCGTCGCCGTCTTCCTTGCCCTTGTTGTCCTCCTCCTCATCGGGGACGATCCTGAAGAACTCGGGGCCGGCGCCGCCGCCGCAGGCGCAGCACATCTGGCCGGCCGTGAAATCGTCGTCGTCCCGACTGCCGCAACCGCCCCCCATTTCAGAGGCGTACCAGCCACAGTCGTAGCCCGAGCCGTCCGTTCGATCGGGGCCGCCATTCGGGTCGCCGTTCGTGTCCGCGCAGCCGTCGTGCCAGCCGTCGTAGACGTCGGGCTCCTCGAAGCCCTGGACGCGCCGGTGATCGGGGCTCGCGGCTGCACGTACTGCGGGTTCGCGAGGACGGCGAGGTACTCGTCCGACAGCATCGCCTCGGCGTCCTCGCGCGTCCACGGCATGTGCTCGGCGAGCCAGAGGGGAGACGGCGCTCGTCATTTGCCCCGACACGAGGAGCGCGGCCTGGCGGTGGAACTCGTTGCAGTCGCACGCCGGCTCGTTACACGTGCCGGGGAGCGGCGTCGGCGCGGGGTCGCCCGGCGACCGCTCGGTGTCGCCGCCGGGTCCTCGCCCCCCCCCCCTCGTCGCCCGAAGCGGACGGCGGCGCATCACGTGTACGGCTCCCTTAGGACGGGTGCTCGCGGGGCTTCGCGGTCATCCAGAGGCCGTGCTCCGTGTGGATGGTCGCGCCCGTGCGCATGCCGACGTCGGCCACCGGCAGGCCGCCGAGCCCCGTCTTCGGCGCGAGCGTGGACGGGTCGTCCAACGCGAACTCGAAGTCGAACTCGCGGATGAGCGTCGTGAGCATGACCGTCGCCTCGAGGATGGCGAACTGGTCGCCGACGCAGCGCCGGTTGCCCGCGCCGAAGGGCAGGAAGGCGTAGTCCGCCGACTGCTCCGTCGGGTAGAGCGCCTGCGCCGGGATCTTCGCGGGGTCGTAGCCGCGCCAGCCCGCGGGCGCGTCCGGGCCCGGCTCCTTCTTCCGCTCCCAGCGCGTCGGGTCGAAGCTCTCCGGCTCGTCCCAGAGCGCCGGGTTCTTGTGGAGGGACCACGTGGACATGAAGACGTCCGTGCCGCGCGCGATCTTGACGCGGTCCTCGTCCGCGTAGGGCTGCGGCAGCTCGTCGCTGTCGAGCGCGCGCCGGATGAGCAGGGGCGGCTGCGGGTAGAGCCGCAGGCCCTCGGCGAGGCAGAGCCGCGCGAAGGCGCAGTCGACGACGTCCGCGTAGGCCGTCGCGGTCCGGTTCTCGGATGTTCGGAGCGCGAAGTTCGCGTCGACCTCCGCGCGCAACCGTTCCAAGTGGCCCGCGGCGCGCTTCGACGGGTGGAAGAGCTCGTAGAGGGTCCAGGTCAGCAGCGCCGCCGTCGTCTCGTGGCCGGCGACGAGCATGGTCATGAGGTCGTCGCGGAGCTGGCCCGTCGACGCCTCTTCCCCTCGGATCGTCACGAGGAAGCGCAGCAAGGAGATGCGCTC